GTAAACCATGTATAGAATAGCAAGACCACAGAACCAAGACAACAGAGGGAATTGAATTTTCCCCCATAATGCATGCCCTGCCCCCACCCACAACTCACACATGACCTACCTAGGCTTGTGACATTCTGCTTTCTAATTCACCAGATGAAAAAATGAGGCGTATTCAGTTTAATAGTGCTTTTTAAGTAGCTCAAGGCTGAACATGTGTGCAAATAGCAAGTAGACCAGAAACCCTGAAGAGTCAAAGACTTTGTCGTTGGTACCCTCCACTCCCCGATGGTGGCTGGGTTCCATGTCAGGCAGTGGGTGCTAATTATTTGATTGCTTTTGTGCCAGGAGTGGAAAGAACAAGTGACCTACAGTTAGCTCCAGGGATAGATGATCCAGTCTGAGAGTTATTCTGGTCTTTTGCTCCTCGTCACAGAAACACAGAGTAATAGAATAACAGGGCTAGATGGGCTTGGAAATCATCTAGTCCAGCATTTTTCAATTGTTAGTCACATAAACCATTCATTGTTTTGTAGGAATGTGTTCTACTCTTTGATGGTTTTAGAGGTATTGGCTTCTTTTTCAAACCTAAATTATTTTTGAAAATGTATTGTCATGGCCATAAGTTGAAAAATCAGTATGATTTGATAGAAACAGAAGATAACCATAAAATAAACAGAATGACAGCCACGTTGTTATGAAATTCTGTCCAGTTGTTTGAGCCTTCAGCCTGCCCAGTTTTCACTAACAAGGGAGTTTAGCAAACACGAAGGAAGTGTTACAGAAATATTATCCTCAAACTGACGTATTCTCTCTGATGGCGTCAAGGAGATCAAAGCGGATTTGAAAAGGTCATCAGTTTCTCACTATCCGATTCAGTGTTATTTAGTGCCCTGCCCCTGTATTCTAAAATCGTCTTGGACTTCCTGAGTTGTCGTGTGTGTCCCATGCTGTAGGGAATAGCCATGGTCCTGGTCCCTCCATTCACAGATGGAGAAACTGAGGCCTCCTCTCGCTCCTTCCTGACGGTTACCTTTGTGCTACGTCACTACCACTTTGCTTCTTACCTAGCAGTTTGGCTAGGGGGAGGGAAAAGAAATGACCCACCAAAGAAGTCAAAGGCAGGTGGTGCTTTTGACTCTACAAAGTTGGAGCTTCCCTGGTTTTCTATTACGCCTGCTCTTCCTGTCCTCCATTACTGGGAGACAAGATGGTGGCCCTCTTGAAAGAAACAGAAAGTTGCCCCACACTTCCATAAAGAAAACTCCTGTCTGGCTCCACCACCATCTAAGACGTTTAGATCAGGAACTTCTAGAAGGATGTAGCCATACGAATGAAGGCATCTCTAGTTATCTTGCCCAAAAAAAAGCGTTGTGTGAGAAAAGAGCAGAGCCATCTAAATCTAATTCATCCTTGGAGTAAGCCATAGGAGCTGAGCTAATGGAATTCTAAATCCTCTGGCAAACTGTATGGATTTTCGAAAGGAGGTGGCGAAATCCTCTTTGTCCTGTTATCTTCTCAAGATGGATTTTTAGTTGAAAATCCTTTCTTTAAAAAAAAATATAGGATAAATGTAGTCATACACTCAGCTAAGCTCTTTATTCCATTGCCTGTGATCTGGAATAAGCTTTTGAGATGTTTCTTCAGACAGGAGGGGAAGGGACAATCTTGGAGAAATATCCTTCTTCATCATATTTTTAAGGATGAAGCTGATTGTATCAAACACTACTTAGTGTTTCATTTTAAATTTCTGTTACTCTTTGGGGAAAAGGTAGTGTGTACATTAAAAAAAAAATGTTTCTTTTCCCCATATATTATAGGATGAAATCAAAAGGGCATGCATCTTAATCTTTGCGACGTGGGTGCCTACATCTGATACCTATAATGTGAAACAAATTTCTTTCTTCACACTCCGAATTTCAGTGTTCGATACATTTGTTACCTCATCCGAATAGCTCAGGCCATTATTCATGTTGATGGAAACAAGAAAAATTCCGATGTCTATCAGCTTGTGTCTGCATTTGTTTATAATAGAAAGACTCCCCTCCACCCTATGTTGGCCCTTTCTTCAGAGGCATAGTGGGAACTGCGTAGTCAAGAAGGCTTCCATGGACTTCCTGACTCTGTTCTTTCTGTCTCTGAGATCCTGACAGGGATCCTAAAGCTCTCTGAGCCTCCATTCTTCGTCTGTAAAATGGGGATAAGTATATCTATTGTGTCAAAATGTTGTCACGATTCAAATAAGGTGATATAAGTAAAGCTCATAGGACAGGGCCTGATATTTAAGCATGCACTAGGTGGTCACTACTATTACTATGTATTACTACCTTGGAAAGGCCACATGAGATAAATCAGAGTACTTACAGGCTGTGGGGCCAGAGAGAAGACAGGACTCACTTCGTCATTCATCACCGCATCTCCAGTTCCAGTTGCGCTGGCCCGTAGCAAGAACTTAGTATTTTTTGGATGAATATTTGAATGGTTCTGGCATTATCCCTCATTAGCTGTGTGATGTTGGGTAAGGCATGTCACCCCTCGTGAAGTGCCCAGAGCAGAGCCTGGTACATGCTATGCTTTCCCCAGTCTCTACTGTCCTTCACTTATGAGTATCCCAGGTAAAGAACTGGGACCAGCATTTCCTGGGGAAGATGGCAAGGGAGATTTTATTCAAGCGGGGGGGGGGGTCAGCTACTACAATGGCGGTTCGCGATAGGAGAGAGAGATCGGCCCCACTCTGAATGCAGCCAGGGAAACTGGAAATCTATGGGTAGGTCAGGAGATGGAAAATCAGGAAGAGGAAATACCAGGGAAAGGGGGATCTGGCCCTACCAGCCGAACCGGCTTCTTGGCGAGGGCTGGCCAAAGGTGATCAAGACACAGGCTGGGGAATGGTGGAGGATGAGAAAATGGACCAGATATTGATGGTGATGAGTTATTAAGGGTGGGAATTCTAGCCAAACTGGCGTAGCAGGATTCTTGCTGAAACTGACAATGAAGAGACAAAAGTCCAGGCCCAGCTGAAAAAGAGCCTGAGCAGAGTTTAGCCAGGCAGAGAGTTTCTGTCAATACGTACCCCAGTCTTGGCTGGAAAGGGCCAGAAAGTGAGCTGGGGTGGGCTCCAGAAAGCTCCAGAGTGAACATTGAAAACTGAACAGGATGTACCCGGGTGGAGCATGGGAGGGGGAGCGAGGTTTCAGAGGGGCCTTCTGGAAGCAAAAGAAGCATGGCTGAAAATCAGGAAGGAAGAGAGAGCATGACATTTCTAGGAACCTCAAGAGACTCAGTCCAGTTTGTTTGCTGAGGGAGGGGTAGGAAGTGGCAAGAGATGGCACGGGGCCAGCCACCGTCAGGGTTCAGACTTCATCCTGAAGCACGTGGTGTCCTCCATCACTGGGTTTTCCTTCCAAGGGAGTAAATGATCAGCGCCTTCCAGAGGACTCTCTTGTTTAGTGCCCCAACCTCCACTAACAACGATGCCTGCTGTTGGAACTCACCTGACTCCAGCACACAATCGCCTTGCAGGCTGATCCAAAGGAAGCATCTTTTCTGGCCATAAAAAACAAGCTCTTAGTGTCCTGACATTATTAAACCCCTCTTAGGCTAAGAACGTGCATTTTTGGACTTGAGAGCATACGCTTGCCAGCCTAAGTCTAGCTCAGTGGGCTCTCCTGAGTGGCACCTGGGAAGTTTTAAAAGAAATATCTACCCTTGCCTGGGCCACCCTCAGAGATTCAGATTCAGTTGTCTGGGAGTGGAACGGGGCATTGGCGTATTTAAAAGCTCCCCAGTGCAGCCAGGGTTGAGAACCATAATGGAGTGCACCGCACAGCAACGTTAGCTCTTGAGAAGAGAATGGACCTCCCTTGCCAGATACTCCAGCCGAGATTCTGGGCCAACATTGCAGACCTTCCTGGCAGATCTTCAAAAGCTGCCTGTGGTGACTGCTGAGACCACAGCATGCCCCACCCGCTTTGCACAGACAGGCCGCCTTCGAAAGCCAACATCTGGCAGCTGGAGAGGGAGAGCGACCTCACCTCTCCCCCGCTCACCTCGGGGCGTGATCTCACCCCCCCCCCGCCCCCGGCCACGTTCTCTGTGCAGCACTAAGGAGCCCTGTCAAGGATTTGCCTTTCCCTGAATTTACCTGGAAACTCCAAGCAGGCCTAATTAGCACATTACTCACCCTCCCCCAGTCCCACACATCACCTCCCTCCTCACCCCCACCTCCAGAAATTTCTTCCCCCGCCCCCCGCCGCTTGCCTATTTATTCAGTGCAGTGGGGTTTCGTGCCCTGGGCCCTTGAAAAGCACATTTTGGGAATGGAAGTGCTACTGGAAGAAGGCAGGTAACTAAGGTCTTCAGGGTCCCAGCTCATCACCTCTCATTGGCCTCCCAGCGAAATGCCATCCATCAGGGGCACTGAGCGACAAGCCCTCCAAATACTTCCCAAGGCGCTGCCCTGTTTTATGCCTTCCACGCTGAGACAGCAGATCGTTAGCTCAGAGCCCCTGGGTTGTTTCCCGCAGCAATTAACTGCTGCCCTGGTGTTAATTCCAATCAATAATCCCCCTGCCGCAGCTCTTACAGCTGCCTGGAGGCTGCGACCTCCATAGCACATTTTGGAAGTAACTTGCTGGGGCAGTGACCCCTAGCCTCTCCAGGAAAGCCCTCACCAGGCTTCCTCATGACAGCAAGTATCCTTCAGTGAGTGTCGGGGGCAAGGGGCAGCATGAGCAAGCAGGGGTCCTAACACCTCTTTCATGTTCCGTGACAACTCGGGAGACAGACCAAACCAGCTCCCCTCTGGTATCCCTTGGGATATTCACAAAGCTTTCATTTTTCTATTTTGGCTTTTTTTTAGAATTCTTTTGTTTTTTTTCTGTTTGTTTTGAGATGGCTGTCTTTTTCCTCCATCTAAAAAAACCCTCTCTCATTCAAATCAGTCCCCCCCCCCTTTTTTTTTTATCACAGAACCACGGTTTCTCATTTCTTGCTTCTGTTGCTTCCTTCAGCTCCCTGTGGACAGAATGAGACCCGGGAGGATGGCAAAATAATCCAGTTGCCTCCCTGCAAGACGGGAGCCTGGATTGTGCCGGCCATCATGGCCTGCTACCTTTTAGTGGCGAACATCCTGCTGGTCAACCTGCTCATCGCGGTCTTTAAGTAAGTGGGTCCTTCCTCAGAGGACTTGGGATGGAGTGGGAGGCTGGGGGAGGGCAGGCTCTGGTGCCTCAGAAAGGAGTGGAGCTTCTCGCTTGATTCTCTCTCATCTCTATTTCAGCAATACATTCTTTGAGGTAAAATCAATATCCAACCAAGTGTGGAAGTTTCAGAGGTATCAGCTCATCATGACTTTCCATGAAAGGCCAGTTCTGCCCCCGCCTCTGATCATCTTTAGCCACATGACCATGATATTCCAGCATCTGTGTTGCCGATGGAGAAAACACGAGAGCGACCCAGATGAGAGGGACTACGGCCTGAGTAAGCTTCGGGTGACAGCCCTGGGCCACCACAAAGTAGGAATTCCTACTACCTCCTGCAGACAGTCATGTAGGACCCCGTGCCCACCTGGTTCCTCTGGCATCCCGCAGACTGCTGACAGCTCTGAACACTCGGGAGGGCCCTGGAGGGTGCGCTTCCATGGGAAACAGTGCTGAAAAGACATGAGAGGCTGAAATGGAGCATTCGTAGCCTCACATCTTTCTTAGGGAATAAAACCAGTCCTCCAGCAGAGCTGTTTTAGCACCTTCACAGGTTCTAAACTTCGTGCCATCCAGAGAGGCCCCACCACAAAATATATGCACCGTATTAATATGCTCCCGATGCTACATTATATATAAGGCAGACATCATTACCTGGGTTGAGTTGGGTTGCAGGTGACTAAGTTTGATTCTCCATGATCATTTCTGGAGCTATCATGTTTTGGGGGTCTTAAACATTCCCCAAGTCTTAGGAAGTCATGTATGACTTCATGAGGAAACCAGCCCTGCTCTCTATTAGTCAAAGGAAAAACAGAAAACGCTCCACCATCCACATTCTACCCAGTGTTTCTAAAAGGAGGCTCTATTGGCTTTGGGGTGGAATAATTCTTCAGTGTGTGGGATTGTCCCACACGTTGCAGAAGATTTAGCACATCCGGCCTCCACACATTGAATACCAGTAGCTCCTGCAGGTCCCTAAATGTCCCTTACTACCCCACCCACAGTTAAGAACCACTGAGAATCAAGCCCCGTACAAGCAAACTCCTGTGGTTTCTCAAAGTGTGTCAGATAGACGGCCTATACTAAATCTACTGAACCAAAGCCTCTGGGATTGTGGCCCAGGAGGTACCTCTCGGTGATCACTAGTGCTCTAAAGCTCAAACCAAAGCCACTTCCTCAACTGCCTCTCGAAGTCTGAAGCTTTTAACAACTTCCCTGACAAAGCAATGCCCAACTTCGTTCTAGACATTAAAACTAGAGAGTTGAAGAGGGCCAGGAATTCCAGAATTCACTGTTTCCACCAAAAACACAAGTCTAGGCAAATAGAAAGCTTCGAGGGAAAAAGGTTCAGATTTCCACTAGGCTCTTTCTACAGTGTATCACTAATGAATTACTCTCCCTGATAGTAACAGAAAACCAGACTAACAACAACACAAATCAATAAAGTTCTATTTTTCTCAAGCAATAAAAAATGAAGAGGGTCCAGAGCTCAGCAATGGCTCCCTGAAGTCAAAGACCCCGAGTCCTGTTTTTAGGCTCCACTATTCATTATTACACTGTCTTACCTCGTGGTAGCAAAATAGCTGCCGTGTTCCCAATCATCACATTCATGTTCAAGGCAGGAAGAGGGGGGAAGGTGAGAAAATGTAGAGAGAAGCAGCTACCTCTGACTAGTTTATCAGGAAAGCAGAACCTCTTCCCAGCACACCACCCCTCCCTGCAGCAGACTTCTTTCTCTGGAGCCGAACTGGGTCCTGTGGCTGTGGCTGCTACCAACTTTAGAGGGGGCTGGAGATGTGGGGATGTGGCTTTCCAGCCTCAGCTGTGTGTGTCTGCCTCACTCCACAAACCAGAAATTGAACTTTTGAGTAACCTGCTTTTTCTTTGATTTAGCTCCTTTCTCAGCCTTACACTATGTATAATTCTAACCAGTCCCTGCAATGAACCAGATACACTGAGGACAACTTCAGGACTCCATAGTGAGTCTAACGCACGGGAGGAGGACAGTGACAGAGGTTGCCCAACTGGGTTTGGATTTAGCCTGCGACTTCGTAAAGAATCTCAGCCCCTTTTCTTAACCTTGATTAAATGAGGAATGTCATTAGGCCCACAGATCTGATGCCATTGCTCATCCTTCCTGTCTTATATCTCTCCCTTTTTTTCCACAGAACTGTTCATAACTGATGATGAGCTCAAGAAAGTACACGATTTCGAAGAACAGTGCATAGAGGAATATTTCAGAGAAAAGGATGATCGATTCAACTCGTCCAACGATGAGAGGATACGGGTGACTTCAGAAAGGTACGTTCCATGGGCACGTGCCTCTCACAAGGATGTTTTTTGTCGTGGCATGCCTTATTGATTGTTTTTGTTTGCACAGTCCCCCAAAACAGAGATCCCCCTTGTGTTTATTCTTATTGTCTAAGCTTATGAGAGAATGGAACATTGTCCGAAGCATTTACAGACCAAAATCCCATACTTATAGATCCTGGACTTCTCCAGGAAGCAGTAGCACCCACTCTCCTGGACACTAGGTTGTTGAGCCTAGGACAGGGCTTGCCGGCTCAGACTAGAAATTGGAATGTTCCAGCCCAGACACCAACCATGAGAGACTCAGCCCAATGCAAGGGTCTCCAGCAGGTTGGTGTTTCATGTAGATCTCTGGGCATCTTTTCAGGAGGAGTAGAACAGTCCTCGTATGTCGTTTATATGGGTGTCCAGTGCCTTCTGAATCAACGGCAGCGAGAGACTTGTGAATTAGTTACAATAACGGGTGAGGAATTTTTTTCAGAATTATTTTGTTTTATTCTTTTTATAGAACAAGATAAAAGCAAAGGAAGAGAAGCAGGTTCTTCTACCCAGTGGTGCTATACTTTTAGATCTCACTGGCCAAATAGTTTTGTGGACCAGTAAGACTATAAGAAAAAAAGAAATCCCAAAATATAAAGAAGAGAATCCTGGAAATGTAACAAATCTAGCTTAATGCCAAGGAATTTACATTTTCTGATTTTTCTCATTTGGCTGTAGACTAATAAAAACTTCATTCTGGGCTGGCATGTTCAAAACCCAGCATTGGGGAACCACTGTGGTAAAGAACGTGCAGACTATTACAAAGCATTGATGTAACTTTAAATTTTAAGCCTTTGAGATATGAAGATGGCACTATTATAAATAGTGGGAAAAGGCATTATATTGATGCCTTCAGTTGATATGATTTAGACTTCTAAGATATGAGTCAGTGACCTCGAGTTTTCAAGAAATGACATTTTATCTGCTCACCCACTTCGTACACTCTCTAGTGACTCTGTAGAAATTACACAAGTGGCATTCTTCTGTCCCTGGCTCTTCATTTCTTTAAAGAATGCAGTCTAGATAAGCAGGTATATACACACATGCCATTGAGTGATTGTGTCCATTGGTACTCAGCCAATATTAACAAAGTTTAAAGCTGTGCACACATTCTATGCACATCTGTCATTGCACAGTAGAGCATTCTAGGGTGATATGATGTGAAGCAATTTTCTGGCAAACAGAGGAAGAGGAGCTATAAATCTAAAAATCTCTCATTCTGAGGCCTTGAAAAAGCTATTTATTAATGGACATATAGCCATGTGTTTTCCAGAAAATTGTGCTACGTGGACACATTGCCTATTGCTCAAACGTATTTCCAAAGCATATGTACGAGAGACTTTGCAATGCTTTTTGACCTCAGAAAGCTACAGACCTGGGAGAAAAGAAAGGTAGGGGGAAGGAGTGTTGAGATGCAAGGAAGCCTTCACCTCTCTGGGGCACTGGAATGAGACATACAGACACCAGCACCTGTGAACGTGTTGTGACCATGTCATCAATTCCTTGGAACTGGATAGAAACAGGAAGGAACTATATATAGCACCTTCACCTGAGCCTCTCACCCCCCACCTGCAAACACTTCCAGGAGACCCCTTTCCCGAGACCCTCTTCCTCTCGGGGTGGTTACAGAGCTATGCCCTCAAGGATGATGACCTAGGTGAGCAATTCCCAGAAATTCTGGACGGATCATAGGCACCCCCTTCCTGTGTCTTCCGCATGAGCTGGCTTTCTGGAGGAACGGGGGGCTGGAGGACCAGGACAAGTTCACAACCAAGCCCAGGTGCCAGAGAAGTGAATCTAAGCTCAGGCGTCATCCTACTTCTGTTGCTTCTGTCTGTGTTTGGGGTTTGATTTTTGTTGTTGGTGGTGGTGGTGGTGGTTTGTTTTGATTTGCAAGTGTACCAAAAAATAAATCTTTAAACACTAGAATTGCACTCCACAAAACAGAAACACCACAAGGTGCATCAGGGAACAAAGATCAACCAATGAAATAGAGGATCCATATTATCCGTCTCACGCATTCTCTAGGACATCTCCTTTCTGAGTGGAGTGTCAGGTGAAATCACCTGTCCTATTTACATTCAATAAATATATAGATAATAGAGATAATAAATGATAGATAATAATAGATAATATACACACACATTTGGATAGGTACATATGTTTAATTTACATAATTAACTATACACATAGTGTATAGGGTATTATATAATTCTCCCTTCATGTTAGACAGCCCCAGTACAGGGATTTGAGATCAGAAAAATTAAGAGCTGGCTCTGCCCTGCTAGAAGACTTGGGAAAAAGGTTTCTTTACATAGCGAGCCCCACGCTCCTCTCTCTACCACTGCGTGTAAAACATAACTTATTTATATAAGTTTTACTTGCAGAAACCTTTTTAGAAATACAAAGATACTTCCATAATTGTCAACTTAAATGCATCATTCCTAAGTCATATTTTTGTACCCAAATGGTATCTAAAGAGCGCAATACAATATTCGGGAGATCATTAACACCTCATAAGAATCGATTCTGAAAAATCCTTCTTTTTCCCATTTTATATACATATTTATCTTTTTCATTTTATCTCAAGACAGAACCAAGACATTGGCATGACTCCAAAAATAGCTTCCATGACAGCATTGGCCCCTGTTCTACCACCTCTCCTTTGGTTAATAACCAGCCAGGTATCCACATTTCTCCCCTCAGCCCAGGGTGTCAACCTCCCTGCTAAAATCATAATGTACTCCATCAAAACATGATGCATGTGCGTTACTGTATTGGTCTGGATTATCAAGATAAGATGAATATTGTGCCCATAAAGTCTCCTGTTAATGAACCTATCTTTTTTTTTTTTTTTAAGATTTTATTTATTTATTTGACAGAGAGAGACATAGTGAGAGAGGGAACACAAGCAGGGGGAGTAGGAGAGGGAGAAGCAGGCTTCCCCGCGGAGCAGGGAGCCCGATGTGGGGCTCAATCCCAGGACTCTGGGATCATGACCTGAGCTGAAGGCAGACGCTTAACGACTGAGCCACCCAGGTGCCCCTGCACCTATCTTTTTAAAGTACTCAAAAGGTACTGAGCTATTCCATAATGCTGTCTAGAATTTACGTCGAACTCATATAATTCCTAGAACTCAGGAACTTCTCATATAAGAAAAACCTTTTCCTATCTCCAGTCTCCTGGCATTTCTTTTTTATTTTCCCACTGGTTTTTAAGGGTTGCCTACGTTTTCTGGTGATCACAGCTGCAAGTTCTTTTCTGGTTTCTTTAACTCATTTAAAGCAGGGTTTGCAAACTGGTGGCTCGTGGGCAACATCTGCCCACAGAGCGCTGTTGGGTTAGGCTCGCAGTGATTGTTAAAATCCATTCTGAATGCCTCTGGCCTGGGCATGTCCTCGGCTGCCACAGAATCCCTGCTTCTGTCCTCACAGGCTTCTCTACTTCACCTACCTCCTCAATCTGCCCTCCCTGTAGGCATTTAGCTCTCAGACCCCTGACTTACAGCTTCCAGATCATCCTCCCCATCACCCCACCTGTCAAGTTCCACTTGTCAGAAGAAGTTGCAGTTTGAATTTTCTTCTCTCCAGGAACAATTTAAGCAAATAGGATATACATTGTTTCTAGCATCGTTTATCTAACATTATCTTTCCTGAGCCAAAGGGCTTTGTGCCCTTTTTGCTCTTCACCTAGATCCAAAAAAAGGAGTAGTCATGTGACTATTAATAGTGTATTCAACTTCTAATTTTCATAACAAAGGGAGACAAGAATAACTTAGGATATATGAGTCTCATAAGTAATCAAAAACAGGCATAAGCCAAAAAAGAACTTCACCCACCTCCCAACCGTATCTTTTTCCAGTGCTGATCTTTGGTATCTCCACTGACTGAGTTGGATTTAAATTGCACTCCCTTTTTCTTCCCAGAATGACGAGGAGAAGGATGACTGGCCCAAAGGGAAGGGAAGGTGACCCTAAGGGACTTAAATAATTCACAAATTAGATACCAGTCTGTGGATAAGCAGGACTTTGCTTTATTTGTTCTGCATCATTGCCTTTCATTTGAAAACCTGTGTAAGCATACCCTGTCCCCCCACAAGAGGCCCTGTGATTGGTTCGTGTGATATGGGATTGTGTTTGCCCTTCCTCCTGTAGTCATCCTATTGCTAGCCCTCCGGGGAATATTTTTTAATTTAAATTCAATTTAATTAACATATAGTATATTATTAGTTTCAGAGGTAGAATTTAGTGATTCATCAGTTGCATATAACACCCGACGCTCATTCCATCATGTGCCCTCCTTACTGCCCATCCCCCAGTTACCCCAGCCCCCCACCCACCTCCCCTCCAGCGACCCTCAGTTTGTTCCCTAGAGTTAAGAGTCTCTTAGGATTTGCCTCCCTCTCAGTTGTCATCTTATTTTATTTGAGATTTAAAACAGGCATGGTGGGGCACCTGGGTGGCTCAGTCAGTTAAGCATCTGCCTTCGGCTCAGGTCATGATCCCGGGGTCCTGGGATTGAGTCCCACATTGGGCTCCCTGCCCAGTAGAGAGCCTGCTTTTCCCTCTCCCTCTGCTGCTCCCCCTGCTTGTGCGTCCTCTCTCTCTTTCTCTCTCTTTATCAAATAAATAAATAAATAAATAAATAAATAAATAAATAAATAAATAAATAAATAAAACAGGCATGGCCTGCCAATCCTCGTTTTTCTTTTACTGCATTCCCTTTAACCACATTTTGAGGTTATCAGGAAAGAAAATGAACTTGTAGAAAATAACAGTTCTTAAGAAATTGCATTTTGGGGGCGCCTGGGTGGCTCAGTCGTTAAGCGTCTGCCTTTGGCTCAGGTCATGATCCTGGAGTCCCTGGATCGAGTCCCGCATCAGGCTCCCTGCTCAGTGGAGAGTCTGCTTCTCCCTCTCCCACTGCCCCCGCTTGTGTTCCCTCCTCGCTGTGTCTCTCTCTGTCAAATAAATAAATAAAATCTTTAAAAAAAAAAAAAAAGAAATTGCATTTTGAAGCTGAAATTTTCTGTGTCATTGGCATCTTCTTGTGAATGCCCTTTTCTTCATCATATTGGCCATTACAGGCTGGCTGTCTTCTTCCCTGGGCTTTTCACCAACCCATTTCGTGCCCTCTGGTGGGGTCCTGGCTGTCCCTTTCTTGGGCATCCAGGGACAGGAGACATCTCACGTCCTTCCAGGACCCCGTTGTGTCCCTCTTGTGCTTGCCTCCTGAGTGATGCTGAATAAGCCCTGTGAAGCCCAGAAACATGAAAAAGGGAAAGAAAAATAGAGTGTTCTTCCCACACAGCATCTTCCTTTCCATGGTCCCTCTTTTTTTCCTTACTTAGTGACTTCCTGTATCTCTCTCCTTGAGACTTCCTATTGATTCATAAATTCTTACCATTCTTACCTCCGTTTTATCTCCTGAGTGGTTTGACCAGAGTCAGCAACTAGTGACTGCAATCGTGACCCAAAACTCTCGGTCGGCTTGTCCCTCACACCTATTTATATCGGTGACGCACACCCATGTACAATCACTTCTCAAAGAAATGTTTTAAGATTAAGGGAGGCACTCTGTTTATCGAAAAAAAACCTATGTAAATTTGATTCCAAGATCTTTTCTTCCTTTATAACTCCTGTATTAAACCTCTACAGTTATATTCATGACCTAAATGATCATACCGTTTGGTGGTTAAACACATCCAGAAATCTGGGAGAAGATGAATGAAACAGCCCATCCCCCCCTCTCCCTACCCCCCCCCCCCCCCCCGCCCAAGTCTTACATTTCAAAACACCTCAGCCCACAGGAGAACCCACTGAGGAGAGATTCGGTGAAGAATTGCTCCTTGGTCCTGTTCTAGCTGTCTTCCCCACCACCTCCCACTGTTCCATTCCCCGGGGCCATGCTCCTTTCCTTTGCTCTTGAGGTTCCCCCTGGGCACCTCTTTGCTTTCCTTGAAAACCCTCTTTCCTCTTGTACCACCTCTCTGTTCTTCCCATCCCGCTGGGCTCCTTAGTTTCTGTCTTGTTTACTATCCACGACCAGCTCCTGACTCTTCCATTGCCTCCTGGTGCCTTAGCTCTACCTCTCATCTGCTACTTTTCTCTGCAGTGTTGGATCCTTGGGCTGAAGGCAGGTGGGACGCAGGGAGGGAGATCCCCACAGAGCAGGGAGATAACTTTATAGTGTTCAGACCCATGATCACAGGCAGTTATGCTAAAAGAGTATCTTTAGCTCTTTCCATACCAACCTTGTATATACCAGGTTCCAGGAAAGGAAGAAGAGGGAGGAAGAAAACGATCCTGCCCTTTTTGACTCTGCCAACTAAACAACTAGAAGGACCCAGTGCCTAGAGCATCCAAAAGGGAAAGTCTCGTTCTACAAAAATGCATCTCTCCTGCTCCTGACTTTAATGAGGATGTATTTTACCCACTTGCCCAAAGCTTATTGCATTGCAAAAAATGAAACTGCAGTACTTGCAAAACCAAATTGCATAGACTACATGGTGACAAAGTGAATCGTGAGTCTATAAGACACACAAACTTACTATTGTTTTTTTTTTTTTTTAAAGATTTTATTTATTTATTTGACAGAGAGAGACACAGCGAGAGAGGGAACACAAGCAAGGGGAGTGGGAGAGGGAGAAGCAGGCTTCCTGCGGAGCAGAGAGCCCGATGCGGGGCTCTATCCCCAGACCCTGGGATCATGACCTGAGCCGAAGGCAGACGCTTAACGACTGAGCCACCCAGGCGCCCCCAAACTTACTATTGTTAAGTAGTTTGTTTCTCAGGCTATGTTTATACCACAAAATGAACTGAAACAGGGGAAAGTTGTATTTTCCTCCTGAATCAGCTGCGTTAGCTGGGTGAAGAGCATTGCGTTTGCCAGCTACAGAATTGCTCTATTTACAAGTCCTTTAGGAATACACCTGGGCGTGGCGGCGGAATGTTCCCGGACCCTGGGAAGTGCTGTGTTCTGGAGCATCAGGAGGACGACTCCAAGGCAGGGCTGATGAGGGCAGTCCAGACCTTGGGCTGGGTGAAGGGAACCTGAAAGATAAAAGAGCAGAGTGGGTGGAGGGAGTTGGGGGGTAGAAGGGCTATTGCTGGTAGAGGCAGAAATGTGGCCCGAGGCCAGAGAATCACACACACCCACTCTGGCTGCAAGAGTGGTTTTGTCTGTTTGTTTTTGTTTTTGTTTTTTAAAGCCTAAAGGTCTCGGGCGCCTGGGTGGCTCAGTCGGTTAAGCGTCTGCCTTCAGCTCAGGTCAGGATCCCAGAGTCCTGGGATCGAGTCCCGCATCGGGCTCCCTGCTCAGTGGGGAGCCTGCTTCTCCCTCTCCCTCTGCCGCTCCCCCCTGTTTATGCTCTCTCTCTCTCTGTCAAATAAATAAATAAAATCTTAAAAAAAAAAAAAGACCTTCAGGTCCTCAGAGAGGGGAACCACATGCCTCTTATTCCTCCTTGGGGCACTGAAACGTGTATTCTTCTCTGATGGAGGTGTTGCTACTTTTAACATATTGCCGCCATCACCCCCCTTGCCCCCATCACAAGAGCTGGGGGGACCCAGCTCCAATTCCCACCATTGTTCCGTTGTTCATAAAGCACATTCTATACCCACCGGCATGTTTCTTTGAAGGGTCAGCTGTCGGGGGCCTTACTGTGCCCACTGGGAGTATTGGAAAAGTGTCTTTATCTTCAGCCTCTCCAGAAAAGTTGTGAATGGATCTCCTGTAGAGCCTCCCAAAGATTTGCCTTGGGGCATTTCACAGTGAAAGTTGAAGGTCAAAGCAAAGCTTGGCTCTGGTTTCTCCTTTCCCAGTCAAGTGAAAGCTGCGGCACAATTTTATTTTATTTTACTTTTATTTATTTTTTATTTTTTTAAAGATTTTATTTATTCGACAGAGAGAGACACAGCGAGAGAGGGAACACAAGCAGGGGGAGTGGGAGAGGGAGAAGCAGGCTTCCCGCGGAGCAGGGAGCCCGATGCAGGGCTCAATCCCAGGACCCTGAGATCATGACCTGAGCCGAAGGCAGTCGCTTAACTGACTGAGCCACCCCAGCGCCCCACAATTTTATTTTAAATATGTGGACTCTGTCTTTGTAAATAAATATCCAGGCAGCCTACTAGACCATTGGAATCAAGTTCATAACCACGATTGTCTAGGTGAACTGTTAGTGACATCTGGCAGCATGGCAATGGAAAAAGGAATATGAGACAGATCACGCCCTTGAGAATTTCCAGTGGGGAGGGTGAAGACATCTAGAAATAACTGTAAAAGAAGGCATCTGTGACCAGCTATCCAGAGAGACACAGAGAGAAAGAGAGAGAAGAGTAGCAAAATTTACTTGTTGATACACACTCTAGGGTTTACCACAAATTACTTTATGTAAACTTGGTTAAATTCCTTGATGTTTGCTTTTCCTTTATTAATGAAAGTCTTGGGCTAAATTAGATCACCTCCAGGTGCCTCAGTGACAGGACTGTATTAATTCCTTTGGAGGCGCTAAATTTTAAAAAGATTATTGTGAACAGCAACAACAAAAAGAAAGATTATTATATAAATGCAAAATAGGGTCACCTGGGTGGCTCAGTTGGTTAAGCTTCTGCCTTTGGCTCAGGTCCTGATTCCAGGGTCCTGAGATCAAGCCCCAAGTCCAGTTCCCTGCTCAGCGGGGACCCTGCTTCTCCCTCTCCCTCTGCCACTCCCCCTGCTTGCACACACTCTCTCTCTCTCTCTGTCAAGTAAATAAATAAATAAAATCTTCTAAAAAGGGCGCCTGGGTGGCTCAGTTGGTTAAGCGACTGCCTTCGGCTCAGGTCATGATCCTGGAGTCCCGGGATCGAGTCCCGCATCGGGCTCCCTGCTTGGCGGGGAGTCTGCTTCTCCCTCTGACCCTCCCCCCTCTCCTGCTCTCTCTCTCTCATTCTCTCTCTCAAATAAATAAATAAATAAAATCTTTAAAAAAAAAAAATCTTCTAAAAAATAAATAAATGCAGGGCGCCTGGGTGGCTCAGATGGTTGAGCGTCTGCCTTCGGCTCGGGTCATGATCCCGGAGTCCTGGGATCGAGTCCCGCATCGGGCTCCCCGCTCTGCGGGAAGTCTGCTTCTCCCTCTGCCTCTCTCTCTCTCTCTCTCATGAATAAGTAAATAAAATCTTAAAAATAAAATAAAATAAAATAAAATAAATAAATAAATGCAAAGTAAAAATAACCCCAGTCCATACTTCAAGTCTTCTTCAGTCTTGTGGACACTGCCACGAGAAAAGCTGCCTTCTGAAATTCTGTTGTGCACTTCTGAGTAAAGCCATCAAAAGGCAACATTCTCATTTTGGTGGTGACTGATTAAGCCGACGCCCTAATCCTTGGTTAGTTCATTAAACCCCGCCCCAAGTCCCAGCTAAGTCATGAGGTGCTTTGGCCCCACTCCACTTCAATAAGAACTAGTCAACTTTGGTGTTTATTGGGATTGTGCATTAAATTTTACTGAGTGGAAAGGGGTTTGGTAGATAAATACCACTGGATTAGATCATCTCTCAGGCCTCTTCCAGCTCAAAATGATTTAGATTCTCCAGAGAGGAACCCGGCCTTGCGTGACCCTCATTCTGTTTCTCTCCCAGGGTGGAGAACATGTCCATGCGGCTGGAGGAAGTCAACGAGAGAGAGCACTGCATGAAGGCCTCGCTCCAGACCGTGGACATCCGGCTGGCACAGCTCGAGGACCTCATCGGGCGCATGGCCACAGCCCTAGAGCGCCTGACAGGTCTGGAGCGGGCTGAGTCCAACAAAATCCGCTCCCGGACCTCGTCCGACTGCACAGACGCCGCCTACATCGTGCGCCAGAGCAGCTTCAACAGCCAGGAGGGGAACACCTTCAAGCTCCAAGAGAGTATAGACCCTGCAGGTGAGGAGACCATGTCCCCAACTTCTCCTACCCTAATGCCCCGTATGAGAAGCCATTCTTTCTATTCAGTCAATTTGAAAGACAAAGGTGGTATAGAAAAGTTGGAGAGTCTTTTTAAAGAAAGGTCCCTGAGCCTACACCGGGCTTCTAGCTCCCACTCGGTAGCAAAAGAGTCCAAAGCTCCTGCAGCCCCTGCCAACACCTTGGCCATCGTTCCTGACTCCAGAAGACCATCTTCGTGTATAGACATCTATGTCTCTGCCATGGATGAACTGCACTGTGATATAGACCCTCTGGACAATTCCATGAACGTCCTTGGGCTGGGTGAGCCCGGCTTTTCGGCTCCAGCACCTTCCACAGCTCCTTCAAGTAGTGCCTATGCAACTCTTGCTCCCACAGACAGACCTCCAAGCCGGAGCATTGACTTTGAGGACATCACCTCCATGGACACTAGATCTTTTTCTTCAGACTACACCCACCTCCCAGAATGCCAGAACCCCTGGGACACTGAGCCTCCGGTGTACCAGAGCATCGAGCGTTCCAAAAGCAGCCGCTACCTAGCCACTACACCCTTTCTTCTAGAAGAGGCCCCCATCGTGAAATCTCATAGCTTTATGTTTTCTCCTTCGAGGAGCTACTACGCCAATTTTGGGGTGCCGGTGAAAACAGCAGAATACACAAGTATTACCGACTGTATCGACACAAGGTGTGTCAATGCCCCTCAAGCGATTGCTGACAGGGCCACCTTCCCTGGCGGTCTTGGAGGCAAAGTGGAGGATTCATCCTGCTGCCATCCCGAGCGAGAAGCAGAACTGAGTCACCCCAGCTCTGACAGCGAGGAGAACGAGGCCAAAGGCCGGAGAGCCACCATCACAATACCCTCCCAGGAGGGTGATAACTCGGACAGAACCCTGTCCAACAACATCACGGTTCCCAAGATAGAGCGTGCCAACAGCTACTCAGCAGAGGAGCCAAGCGTGCCATATGCACACACCAGGAAGAGCTTCTCCATCAGTGACAGACTCGACAGGCAGCGGAACACAGCAAGCCTGCGAAATCCCTTCCAGAGGAGTAAGTCCTCCAAGCCGGAGGGACGAGGGGACAGCCTGTCCATGCGGAGACTGTCCAGAACATCTGCCTTCCACAGCTTTGAAAGCAAGCACAACTAAACCTTCTTAATAAGCATTGCAGGAGGCTCAAGAATCCAGCCCTAAAATTCTCCCCGAACCCCACCTGTTCCCCTTCCTTGAAACGTACCTGCTTTATTCTTAGCTGAGCAAAACAAGCGATGCCTTGGGAGGTGTTAACTCAAAGGTGACTTCTGGGCCACAGATGGAGAAAGCACTTTGCCTAGCCCAGTGCCAAACACAGGGGCTTTAAGTCATGTTCACTCTTGATGGGTAGGGAGGGAAGAGAGGGAGAAGAAGGGCTGTGGTGAATGTGTATGTCTGGTGACTTCAGAAAGCCATGAGCTCTGGGAATGAAGGGGCTTCGAGCACTCTCCATGCCAGGAGGCATCTTTCCATTTCTGACCATTATCAAGAGTTTTAGGATACAGGGCTAAATTGCAAAATAAGATAAAATAAAGTAGCCAGCATACAAATGAGATATTCTAAACTTCAATTCTGTTTTCTTTTCACATTGGCTCCATCACTGGTGACTGATGAAGAGCATCCTTTTTATTCAGTATAAGCCGGCAGCAAGCAGTTCTACCTAACGTCCCACATCCTTCTCATGCCAACACTTCTGTAATTGATCAGTATAAAGAAAAAACAAGGTAACAGTCATAGTTCACCTGTCTCTTATATATTCACTTCTGGTGCCACAACTGTTTATCTTTCTTGAAGAAAATAAAGGGAAAAGAAATGCCTTTTTGTATTGCAATCAAAATGAAAGAAGAATTGAGGCTAAAAACAAATGTCAAGTGGTTTATTATATACGGTGGGCATTCGAGTATAGTCGAGCAAGCTCAGGATGAATGTAATTACATAATTTTATATTTTTTAATTTATTTTGTATCTCACCTGTCATCAATCAAGTCACTCACTGAATATGTGATAGTGAACTAAAAGAAAAAAATATATGCAGTGGGCAGAAGTCACCTAAAATTGCCATGTGGTATACTGTTACATTCTCACCATCCGTGTCATGTGTCATCCTGCTGTGTGATTGTCATCATTTGCATGGCTCCACCATGTCTTCTGAACATCTCCGAGATGTACCTGGAAATTCTTCACACCACTCATCACATGACCATTTTGTATATGAAGATCTGCTCACACGTGGATATTTTCATACCTAGAGTTTTGCCGTTTAATCTGAGCTCAGCATAAATTTCATTGGAGTTTTTCAAGGGCTGGTATCTTTTTTATGGAGATGTTCCAAAGTACTTTTTAAGGAAGTTTCAAATCATAAATAACCTGAGAATTGACTGGGAATTTGGTATCAACCCAAAGCCATCAGTTGCAGTCATACCATGAATATTTTTCTTATATACAGAGCTATAAAAATGATACAGTAGACTCAAGTAGAAAGCAAATAAACTACGTAAAGACTTCTATAGTATATGCTGCTTATATACATATATATGCATTCACATGGAGACATGTTTATATATAGTATATAAACAGGCATACAGAGCTTTCTTAAGATTTCTTTTCTATCACCGTGAGGTATAATCAGGATATTTTCATATTCAAGGAGTTCCATTGAAAGAGTTCATTCTGTCATGTTGGATTTTTGACAGATGTTGAAATTATGTTTTTTTTTTAAATCCATGTGACCTTAACTCTTCCTTGTACCAAACTAAAGTTGCCAAAATGACTGGCTTCTTGCCCTCTGCTTGTTTTCTGTCCGCAAACACTTGCTGCAATGACATCTTATTTAGTCTGGTTTCTTCCGCACAAAGTTGATTATGCTAAGTACAATCTGAATTAGACATGTGATTCTAAACCAGATAGTATTACAGACGCTTTAATACAGATGTCCACTACTAGGTCAGAACCTGGATTTGAAGGGGAATAAAGAAATCTTTAAATCTTTAAATCTTTAAAATTTTGAAGACCCTCAAATCTTCCGATTCCTACTTGCGTCACTGATTTTCAAAAGAATAAAATCTTTAAGGACAATGACCTAATGTTCTTGGCCCCCAAAATACTATGTGGTTCTCCTGTTGAGTTGCCATTGTGAGCTCCAGATTTTCTCATAATGTGAAATCAAGTAAATAACGTGGACAAAAGCTCTAGCCTTTAAGTTTGTTTTTGTTTTTTTCTTAACCCCTCTGCCCCTCTGAACAAGCCTTTTGGATATAGAAATAGTTACGAGGCCACATATAAAGAATTAAAGAATTCCTTTTCACTCTTTGGTATTTGGGTGAATCGGACATAAGCAACCAGACTCCCTCATGTGTAATTGCCCTAGAAATGCTTACATTTTTTATTGAGCCCCACATTGACTGTTTCCCTTTCAGCAAACATGCCTTTGGTCTGAGAATAAATCAGTTGCCCTTAAACTTCCTTGAGTCATGCATCTCAGTGAGAATCTTATGAAAGCTCTGGGCCCTCTCCCCAGAAAAAAAATATACATACATGCAGAGTTGCAATGTAACTTGAAAGGGTTCATGTACCCCTGGTTCCATGTTGCTTGATAATGAGGAAGAGGAACCATGTTTGTTCATAATCAATACAGTTGTAATAGGCACTTTACATTTGAGACCATTTCTCTGTGATTCTCAGGAAGGCCAAGTCTCAGCACCAGAGTTGGAACCAGGATTTTGTTCTTTTCGTCCCTTAGATTATATTTTGCTAGTTTGATGTCCTTGTATCCTAATGTTTGATGATTTAAAAAGGCAGAAGGCTCTCTGAGTGAGTCTGTAGAGGAATCCAAGGAGGAGGTGAAGCCATTATTCTTTGACCACAGAGCAGGACATCACAGCACCTCTAGGGCCCCATTCTGAACCGGACGGAAAGTGAGGGAAAGAAATTATGTGCACAAGTGTTTCCATTCATCATGATTTCTGGAGAGAACAGAACAGGACCATGGAAATGCAGTCCTTACCAGTCCTGACCTTGTGACTGCCTGGTTCTTTGGTTGTACAGGAAAACGAAGCTCTTACATCTTTCGTGAAGTGTGCAAAATATATAAGCCAAATCTAAATGACGTTAAATGTAAACCGTGCAATTCTCGTGAGCCATTTCTTTCCTGTGCACATACATGTGTATTCTCTTTCAACCCATTTCTTCCCATTTCTGGGTTCTCTGCACCCCACTGTGGCCTTGATTCAGTGGCCTTGTGAAGTCAAGCTTATGTTCAGCTCATTTATTCCATCCCGTCCCTGATCAAGGAGACGTTAATTACCTGTCTCTGTGAATTAAGCAGCTCATGAGCAGCACATTATTGAGGAACGTAAATAAAGTCATAGAGAGCTCACAGAAGTAATCGCTTTGGTTCCATCATCTGCTTCTGAGGTGCCAATTTTTACATGCTACTATACATAATGATTCGTTCTAAGTCGCTTGTTCCTTTTGAAAAAAAAAAAATCAAGGGTGTTTTATGAAAATGGCCATGGAAATTCCCTGATTGACCCACATACTTATAGTTAGAAACTTCCTCCTGGATGGATTTGAATGAGGAGCTGGAAATCTTGGACACAGTTGTCATGGCTAGTTCGTATATTTCTCCAAGCCAGAAGGCGTATTAGCAGGCAGAATACAGCACTTTACCAGAACTGGCTTTCCTTTTAAGTCTAAGCTTCCAGGTCTAGGATATATATTTAGCACTTTGAAAGTCCCCCTTAAAAAATATATATAAATATATATATATATATACACACACACATATATATATATGAATAATCCAATGGGAAAAATATACTTGTAAAAACACACAGTGTGTTTCTTCTGAATGTTTCAAATATATTCTAAAAGATGGTTTCTATAGATAATATTATGGTAGATAACTGGATAGTACATTAATTCGACTTTCTGAGGCTATACAGTCTAATCTTCCCGAATGTTTGGGCTGTTTAACTTCTGTCTTGGTAATCAATATTATCCAGTCATCCATCATGTGCTATCTATAGACTGTACCATTCAATGTGTCGAGCAATGCTGTATTATAAAACACATGTACACATATATGTAACCCATGTTTCACCTAGCATAGTTGTAGCATGTGGTTGTATTAATGAACGTTACAGGACAGCTTTATAATCATTGACCAATCTGTAACATTCAATAAAGAAGCACATGTTGCAAGGATTAAGTATGTTCCCAATTCCATGTTATTCAGCATCCTCGCAAAATGAGCACTTTTGTTCCCGATCTGCTTTATGGCTTTCACAGTCCTCTAGCCCATGAGGAAATACCTGTATAAGCCGATGTACATCCTCTAACCAGCCCCATGAGCCATGGTAGGCGAGTTGTGTTTTGCGAAAGACGACCTGGCATGTGATGCAAAAGACTCTCTGACAAATGAACTTAAAATAATATTTTAAACTCCAGTTGAATTAGCTGTCTGTTTACATCTGCTAACCCCCTGCAGAAGCACTGTACAGTATTTTATAAATATGTTCATTTAGTAACGCTGATATGTTTGTTTCTAGATAAAGTGATGCTACTGTGTAGGTGGTTATATATGTTCTAGATATTGCATTATGACTCACTATTCTTTAACAATAGCAATGTAACTTAAACGAAGTAATCCCTCTCCAAATCCAGTCTTAATTTTGTGGCAACAAAATGCATGCACTGCTTTATGCGTTTCTTTTGACTTTTTAAAGGCACTTAACATTTGATTATTGCCTGCTGTAACACTTAACCCAGCTAGGAATTCGCTCACGTCATTGGGCTTCTTACACTGTTTGGGGATTATGTTCGATTTTTAAAAATTAAAAACTAAAAAATAACCGAGGGTTTTTTTTTAATCTTTTTTTAAGCTCCGAACAAATAATATGAAATAAAGTATTAACCACAGGGTGTGTAGCTAGGGGACCCAGAGATGACTGGCTAACACCCATGCAGGTGTTGGTGCAGCTGTGATATAGGAAAGACACGTTTCTGATTCTTTAGGGCCACTGGGTGCAAATTGCAAAACCAGAGAGGAGAGTGAGAAGTCCATTCGGACAGTGCAGAAAGCCACAGATCATTATGAATGAGTGGCCCAATGATGCACGTGACTTCCCTCCTACCTGGTGGCTTTTCTACCTTGTGCGTGAGCCTGGTCCGGGGGAGAGTGAGGAGTGGGTGACTGGGGGTCTGATCAAGAACTGGGTGACTCTGAAGAGCTTGCCCTTTAAAGAAACCACCATGTCATTATCAGAAGCCATTCATTCAACATTTGGAAAAGAGAGGAGCCACTTTGCATAGTCCTATAAATGACTACTCTTCCAACCTGGAGAGAAAACTTCTCTCAGCCTGTGCTGGCCTAAGCTTTCTCTTCCCTTTCCGTGTCAAACATTCTCTTTCCCCAGATCAGAGTCAACCAAAGCAGGGCTTGGTTCTGATTTAAGGAAAACAAGATTTTTTTTCCTTTTCTTTTTTAATTCACTTGAGAAGATCATTTTGTTACCTTTTCTCTGATGAGTTCCTTGTACTGGTCGCTGCTAATGACATCAAGACACGACGATTTCTTTAGGTCCGTCCAAGAAAGGATTTTGGTGGCCACGTAAGCCACCTGGCAGTAAGAGTGAGGTGAATTTTCCCTTCCCTAAGTTCCCTCGTCCGCCAGCCCCCTTAGGCCTCAGCCCCTTGCCTGTTTGCACAGTGTTTATGTGCTGGGAAGTGAAAAGGGCACGTAGGGCCACAAGTCCGTGGGCTATCTGCAGAGCATCGGGACCAACCTTGACCCAGGCGTTCCTCAGGAACAGGCAGGCTGCCCAGAGCATTGGGTCACAGAGGGAAGTTCAGCTTTGCACCTGGATGTGCAGCCTTCTTCACCCCCTTAACTTTCTTCCTTTCTCTTAACCCAGCACAACATGCCTTTTGCCAGACCCACAGACCCTTGGTCCTATGACCTCAGTACCCCACGGGGAGCCTGGCTCAGTAATCTGAAACAGTGGCCCCTTGGAAAAAGTCAAGCTTTCAGACTTTGTCCAGCCCTCGTCTTCCCACAAACCTAGGCTCCTCCCTCCCCGCACTCTACCCCTTACCCCAAACTCAGCTGGTGTTTGTGTCGGCCCTGTCCAATTCTTTGCCTGTCTGAACCCCAAGAGAGTCCCTCATGTCTTCCCCCCAGCTCCCCACGTATCATAAGAACCATCCATCTGCATCTAGATGGGGGGGCTGCAAGCTCAAGTACATGCAGGGGCTGGATCCAGGACACAAATGTGCCCACTGGACTCAGGGAAGACAACAGGAAGAAGTAGGGTTTGTAGGGCATGAGAGAACACGTGTCCCATGACAAAAACGTTCACATTCTGATTTGTAAACACTCTGCTAGCCAAACAAACATGTCTGCCAACAGCATTCAGTCCCAATAGCAATAGTTTGGGACCTCTGATTTAGGGCCAACCAGGATCATGTTCTTGATCCTGACTTAGTGAGTGTATAGAAGAAATACACCGAGAACGGAGGTGGGGGCGGAGAGGAACTCACCCTATTCAGGGTTATTCCTGCTCTCCCGAGTGAGAGATGCATGTGTATTTGCTAGCTGCATCTTTCTGGACCCAAAGGCAGGATCTTTGTGAGGGACATATGGAAGAAGAGTACCATAGCATTGTATCAAGGCTTATCTGCTTCTTGTCACGACAGCGTCTAACTTGAGTTTATATTGCTGTTTCTGCTGTGCAAAACAGTCCACACAGTATACTGTACTCATAGTTATTTCATAATCTAGGACTTAGACTCTCATTTGTAAGCATTCTAACCATAGTTTATAATGGGGGAAATTATTCAAATATCATTTTTAAATGAATTCCTATAAATACAACAATTTTGAAATTGGGTTTGTTAAATATATATATACATCTTTTCCTTCTTTGTGTACGGATAGACCGCAGTTGGCATATCTATCGACATTATAAATATATATAAATCCTTAGAGGAATTGTTCTTTTTTAAAGGTCTATTATTGGATTCACAATGCACTTTGAGCTTGTTTGTTTAGATACATAATTCGAAGCAGAAGTTGGCAGATACCATGGGAAAAACTTTCTGAAATTTCTGTAACAAATGTTTTGCAATAAAAAGAAAAAAATTCAGTAGTTTAAAACATGACTTGGGTCTCCTTGTGCATTTATTTGCCATCACTTGATCTCCATCATCTTCATGCCAAGAAGGGTTGGGGTATGCAGAGATAATTGCCTACAGCCCCGTCAGTTAACTTGCAGAGCAGAAGTTGCAAACCGGTAGCCTGTGGAAAAGGCTACCCTGGGATGTGTCTAAAGAACAGGGAGGGTTTAATAAGACACAAGGAGGAACTTCAGGTAAGGGGAACGCTAATTTGACCAGCCTTCAAACGTTACAGTGCTTCATCCTGGTTAGAACCTCCAGGCAGCTCCATGGAATCTCCAGCATCGACCCCAGTTTTGTGAATGAGGCTTTGCTCCAACTAGTCTCTTCATCTGTACCTTTCCCATTGGCTCTGTCTAGTCAGTTTTTTGAAAATGGAATGGCTGGCATAGGAATTTATCATGTTTATAAATATGCACATTTATGTAACACACAATCTTCAACCACGTGCCCTCAGATTTCTTGGAAAATCAGGCCCACCATCCTTTGCTATCAAAATCTCAGATTTAGAGCTGCATAGAGCTTCCTTGAAGGAGAGATTGAGGAAGGTTGAAAAAGATTAATTCTCTAGGGCTAAATTTAAAAGTTAATTTAGATTTAAAAGTAATTTGTCATTACTTACTTGTTGACATTACCCTATTTGATTAAGAGCCAGAACATGGCTTGTTGTATAAAGGCCTAGATTACACATCCTTAACAGTGGAAAGTTCTCAGGAATTACTCCTTTTGTTCCCCTCCCCTGATCTCTGGTTGTTACCTTGGTCTCTGCCCAACAATCGCCACACTACTTATAGTTTCAGTATCTCTCAGAAGCCTTCTGCCATATCATAGTCATTGTCTTATGACACAATACAGTCACACTAGAAAGGCCTTTACTCAAAATCATGAACCGTTGCACCATTATTCTTCATCTCATGCACTGAACACCAATTTTATTGAAGACTAGTTTAGTTTGCTAGGGCTACCTTAAAAAAAAATACCACAAATTAGGTGGCTTACGTAACAGAAATTTTTTGTCTTATAGTTCTGGAAGCCAGAAGTCCAAGATCAAAGTGTTGGCAGGGTTGGTTCCTTCTGAGGGCTGTGAGAATCTATTCAATGCCTCTCTCCTAGCTTCTGGTGATTTTCTGGCAATCCTTGGCATTCCTTGGCTTATAGAAGCATCACACACTCTCCCTGTGTGCTGTGTCCAAATTTACTCTTTTATGGCACTCACTCTATTCCAGTGCAATCTCATCTGACCTAGTTATATCTGGCATGACCCTATTAACCAAAGTTCACATTCTGAGGTTCAAGGGGCTAGGATTTCAACATAGAAACAGTGGGGGAGACAAAATTCAACCCTTAATACTAGGTGAATTTATGAGTAAGGGTGTGGTGGTCATTTATCTTTTTAATATCTTTCAAAGTAGGGAAATTAGAATTCAGGAATCAGTTGGAAACAATATATGTACTGATCAGTAGGAGAAAAAAATAGACCAATTGTGTCATACCATGGAGCCATTAACAATAATTAAATCTTTGTATATTGACATGAGAAGGTGCCATTGGTATATTGTCAAGTCTTTTTACTTTTTTTTTTTTTTCTATTATGTTCAGTTAGCCACTGTATAGTACAGCATTAGTTTTTGATGCAACGTTCAACGATTAATTAGTTGCGTATAACACCCAGTGCTCATCACAACACGTGCCCTCCTCAATACCCATCACTTGGCTGCCCCATCCCTCCCACACCCCTCCCCTCTGAAACCCTCAGTTTGTTTCCCCAGAGTCCGTAGTCTCTCGTGGTTCATCTCCCTCTCTGATTTCTCCCCCTTCAGTTTTCCCTCCCCACCCCTATGGTCCTCTGTGCTATTGCTTATATTCCACATATAAGTGAAACCATATGATAATTGTCTTTCTCTGCTTGTCAAGTCTTGTTAAAAGGAAATGCAGAGCAACTTATAGGGTCTAATCCCAATTTTTGTCAAAATTAAACCAGGGATATAGATGTGGATATATTCGTATGTGAATAGTAAAGATTGAAAGAATACAGAGGAAGGAGTAGAAGTTGTGTTGCAGAAGTTTTTCTTTTTTTTTTCCAAAAATTCAAATACTGTTGAAGAATAATCTAAAGTGGCCCAAGAAAAGTTGGTTCGAGGATCAACAGACACCTTTGCCTTCTTTCTGCTCAGACATCTGTTCTAGACATCATCACAATAATCACAAGCCCTGGAAAGGCAACATGTCTCCTCCAAGGAATGGTAAATTTGAAAGAAAAGAAAAGTGGTAGCAATAGTTTAACTACTAATGTCGTGAAATTGTCATTTTAGGCAGAAATACAACCAATGTCTTTTGAGCAGCTACTTTGTTCCCCTGGAAGAACTGAAAATTTTATTAAAAGGGCAAGACTGTCATGACTAAAAAGATAATTACATGGTGTAGTTATTTAATTAGAGCTGTTGAAGAAATCGGGATGAGCGGCCCAAATTTAGCTCATCAACACTGAAAGTGTTCACGTGGAAGCAAAATGGCCGCCAGGAAGGCAGTGTGTGGATGGTTTCCCACATTTGGGGAGGAACCTGGACTACATAATCCGCTCTGAGACTGCACAGAACAAACAAGAGTTGCTTTTCAGGTAAGAGTAAAGAATGAACATCTGTAGCCTAGCAGGGCCTAACGGAATAGACGGGGCTGGGGAAGACAGGAGGTGAGAAGCGGGCGTTTATTTCCAAGGCTGTAGGAAAACAAAGCTGTAGCCACGAGAATAATTAAGGCCTGCTTGGAAAACAGTTAGAAGCCAACCTGATCAGGTCAGAGGACTCACACTGGAGATTCGTGGGAAAGTATCACAATCCTTTATATCCACTTCATCTTCTCAACACATCTATGCAATCAGCATTATTATTCTCCTGTCCCAGATGCGGGGGCGGGGGAGTGTTCATCATTTTACACATGAATCCAGATTGGAGTTTGGACTTTATTCTCAAAGTGACTAAAAAATTCTGGGCAAAAATGTGACCTGGCCAGGGAGGGAGAAGTGCCGTGGGACTGACTACAGGATTCCAGGCAAGAGGTAATAAAACTCCATGGATGAAGACACTGAAGAAGTTTTACAACTCAACCTAATCCAGCAAATATTTCATGGAGACTCACTCTTGGAAAAACACTTGACCGAGTGCCAGCACATTCTATTTGAAATGTCACCCTCTTACTCAATTCCCTGGTGAACAACTAGTCATCCTTTATGGAAGACTGTGTTCTAGTGTATACCGAGCTGAGCATCCCTTGAGATGCTTCCTTGCTGGCAGCCATTTTGTACATTGTGGAAGAGCTGTACCCTTTGCCTACCACCACAGTTTTGGCTAGATCTTTGGCAAAGGGTAACATGGACCCAAGAGTGCCAGTCAGAGCTTTTTCCTTAGGAATTTGGAACAAAAATGGGGGTGGCAGTCTCTGGATAGTGAAACCATAACTTACAGGCTCAGGAATTCTTGACAATCAGGTTCCTGCAGATAGCTGAGTTGCAGAGAAAATCAGTCTGCCATGAGAAAGGAATATAGACACAGAGACAGGAGCAGATACGGGAAACAGAAATTCTAGACTCCGTCTGAGACATAACCATAGTCCCGTCATTGGGGTTTAAAAGCATATCAGTATCCTTTAAATAAATACCCCATGTTGTAAGCTAAGTAATGACCTCCCAAAGATGCCCACATCCTCACCCCCAGGACCTGCTACCATATATGGCAAAAGAGACTTTGCAGATGTGATAAATTAAGGTTGTTGAGATAGGTAGATAATCTTGGATTATCCAGGTACACCCAATGTAATTACAAAGGTCTTTATAAGAGGGAGGAGGGGGGTCAGAGTCAGAGAGCAGGTGTTGCGACAAGGGAAGAAAAGATGGAAGTGATTTATGCTGAAGATGAGGGAAGGGACCAGGTGCTGAGGAATGAATGCAGGCAGCCTCCAGAAGCTGAAGAAGACAAGGAATGGATTCCTCACCTGGTCTCTAGAAGGAACCAGACCTGCTGACATCTCGATCTTAGCCCCTCAAGACTCATTTTTACTTCTGGTCTCCAGAACTGTAAGAGAATAAATTTGTGTTGTTGGAAGCCGCTGCATTTGTGGTGATTTCTTAGAGCAGCGAGAGGGAACTCACACACCTCCCATACACACACTTTTATTTAAAATCAGGTTGGTATCTGTTACGTGCAACCACAAGAATCTAAGTACCCTCTCTTAATACTAAGCTGCCACAGACCATAAGACACACTGCCAAATTAATATCGGTGTTGGGGGTGGAAAAGCAACACTGCCACATTATATGTATACATGATCAAAAAACACATTCTGGTTTCAAAATGTGGGGGGACAATGTGTACTCGGAATTAATGAAATAAGGCAATATATCCTTCAAGTCAGAACTCAACCAGCTCTACCTGCAGGAAGCCTTCTCTAATTTACCATAATAAACTCTCCTTTCTTGACCATGTGTCAAGCCTTACATGTATCCTCTGTCATTTGTCACCCTACTTGATGGTGGTAGGTTGACTTGTTTGTCTCTCGAGATAAACCACGAGCACCTTCACGCAGTGTCTGGTGCCTAGTTCAGTGCCTGCACATGGAATGAATCAGGAAAGAAATGAATAGACAGTCTCTGACCTCAGCGAGCTCCCAGTCCAACCGAAACAGATATGTCACTATACAAATCAGAGTTTTCAAGGCACCAGGAATAAATTACATAAACAAAGCCTTCTGGAGCACAGAGTGTGCTTTTTGAAATATGCAATCAAATTTGCAATAACTGGAGAGCAGGGTTGAAGGAAAGTTTGGGGCGGGGGAGTTCTCAGGAGGGGTGACAGACTTTTGAGCTCAAATATCTCAGCCTTAAAGGATGAGTGGGATTTTGAAAGGCAGAAAAGGGGGAGAGGTGGAAGGATTACAGGCAAAAAGTATAGCATGATCAAAAAAAAGTCACAATGGAATGAAGAGACAAGAAAGCACCAGAAAACAGGTAAGTAATTCAATATGGCTACAGATATGTCAACATGTCATAAAAGGACAGGGCAAGTCCAGAAAATTTGA